CGTCTACATTGGCACGGACGCTTTTCCGGAAAAAGTGCTTTTCCGGAAAAGCATCCTGCCAATGTAGACGCGCTTTTTCCGGAAATACTTATAACGGAAAACTGTTCCGTTTTAAGCATTTCTGGAAAAGGGTGCCAGTGTAGACGTAGCCATAGACTTTATGGAGTGTTTGTCTAATCCTTGGAGTTGCAGTGGGATTTTGAAGATATTCTGCAGATTTCTATTAGTACTTTTAAGAGGGGCATAGTGACATACTATAAATCACTTAGAAAACTTTATTTTATATGTAAATAATAAAAACAGAGATACTAGTTTGCATCTTAGGGCTGGGATTGTCAAATGAACCCAAGTGAAAAATTCCTTTGAAATTCACTGGGAGTTTGGTGCCTAATTCCTTTAGGCCTCTTTGGAAATCCCAGCCTGGATTTTTTAGTGTGTTGAAAATCACTTTTCCCACAGCTCGACTGGTTCCTCTCCATGCTTGTACACGCTGATAGTAACCTGTCCCGTTTCACAGCCATATTTGTTCTTGACAAAGATGCTGTATTTTCCTGTGTCATCACTGCAGACTCTCTCAATGGTAATTGTGACAACTATCCCCTTCACTTCCATTTTGTAACGATCTTTAAAGATGACCACCTTCTCGTTCTTGAACCAAGTGATTTCTGGGTAAGGATCACCAGATATGCAGCATGTCAAACACAGGGTCTGTTTTAAAAATATAGTAAATACAGGGTTAAGGTGGCAATTCACAGCCATTATGAACACATAATTAAGCAAAGAGAGAAATTAAAAACTGATCTCCAAAAAACTCCACAGGTTTAACTGCTCCAGGAACTCATTAGTTCTTATCGGCTCAGTCCCTGAAGCAAGCAACTTATTCACTTTTCTATTTTAGTCTCCTCATCTGTAAAATGGGAATTGTACCGCTCATTCACCTATCCCAGAAAGGAACATGAGAGGATTAAGTCCTTAACAGTTGTTAAATGCTCTGAAGGTGGAAAGCACCATATAAAGGCTATGGACTATTATTGAAGTATTGTTGGTCCCAGGATATGAGATTATTTTTCAAGTATCTAAAAGGGTGTTACAAGGAGGGGGGAGGAAAATTGTTCTTCTTAGCCTCTGAGGATAGGACAAGAAGCTGTGGGTTTAAATTGCAAGAAGGGAGGTTTAGTTTAGATATTATGAAAAAAAAATCCTAACTGTCAGGGTGGTTAAATACTGGAACAAATTGCCTAGGGAGGTCATGGAATCTCCATCACTGGAGATATTTAAGAGCAGGTTGTATAGACACCTGTCAGGGATGATTTAGGCACTGTTTGGTCCTGAGGGCAGGGCACTGTACTCGCTGACCTCTCAAGGTCCCTTCCAGTTCTATGGTTCTATGATTATCTCTTGTGTGTTTTATTCCTGTATTACTGTAGTACCTAAGAGAGGTAATCATAGACCAGAATCTTACTGTGGTACAAATACATAATAAAAAGATGGTCCCTGCCCCAAACAGTGTTAGGCATAAGACAAAAGACAACCAGTAGATACAGTAAAGAAGAAACCATGAGAGAATGATCACACAAGAGAAACTGATCTGAGCATATAAGCCTATGGACCCCTGATTCTGATACCAGCCATTTTAAAAAGATCTAACCCAGATACTGTATTTCTCTTATTCAATACCTAGGACAGCATGACCACACAATGCCATTGTGTTTGCTAGGAAATGGAAAGCTACATTTTTTAACACGCTCAAATCTTTTGCCATTTAGGAGATTGACTTCATGCAGCTGAAATCATCACTACTCTGTTTGTGGCCATCAGTAATGTAAGTATATTTAACCGCTTTCAAAGCATTAAGGACTATTAAGGTGACCATAAAATTCAAGGCTGATCTAGTTTCTAGACTTTGAAGGAGTTATTCATAGGATACAGGAGCCCCTCATTAGTAAGAACTAGCTGATTTCAGAAGTTTATCAAAGATGACAGAACTAAGTTATGGAGTGGGTGGGCAAGATTTATATGATTAGTGAACAAATCTACTAAAGCTAAACCTAAACACTTCATATGAGGTTAACGTTATGAATTACCATGGATAGTCAGGCTAATAAGCTGAGCAGGTTTTGGATAGGTCTAAATAGACCCCAGAATCATGTAAGTGGAGAGCATAACTGCTCCAGATTTGTATTTATTGAGTGCATGCCAATGGTGCATCTGATACAGTGCAAACACTCCAACTGCAGTCTGGGGACAGCTCCTGCAGAGGTGTAGGTTTCCCTGCCAGGAAGCATCATTGTTTAGAAGTCACAGAATTGCAATTAGATGGAATTACATTCTCCAGCCTGTAGTTTTAAACAAAGGGCAGTGACTGCTAATTATTCTTTCTTGACACTTTCATGGCCACATTTGTGGTTATATTAAGTACAGATGGCTTCTATTAATAGCTTTCAAAACCTAGGTTAAATGTGTCTAAACAGAAGTGACGCATTTTAAGTGCTCTCAGAAACTGCTAGGATTTTTGATGGGTCCAGGCAGTTAGTGAGATTTAGATATTATGGGCTTTTCTTCTGCCACTTTCCAAGGGTAAATCAGGAATAAACTCCACTGACGCCAATGGGACTAATTATCATTTGTGATAGGCCCTTTTACATCTTCTGGGAATGTAAAGAGACCTTAAAGTGGGCATGAATTACATTTACAGTCATTTTAAAGCCTCTTTTCTCAGCCACAGTAAAGGGGACTATTATAAAATTAGTGCAAATAACAAAAGAATCAGGCCCTATGTTTAAAGTTGTTAGTCTAAAGTACAGGTTTGAAAGGAAGACTGTGGCATGTGAAATTGCTACAATATGCCATTGTCAGCACCTGAAAACCAGGATGAGGTGTTTAAGGAGGGCAATTGAGTAAGGTGAGATGTTGATGTAACTTTTCTTATGGTTAGCATTAAAACTTTCCTTGCACAAGTGCACAAAAAATGGAACTTTGGAGTCCATCTGGATTTGTGGATTTCAAAGGGAACTCTCCCCTCCAATTTTCTCCTACAAAGGTGAGTGTGTCTGGAAAGACCACCCACCATCATATTGCTCACTGGTGTTAGCAGTGAATATCACACCAAGCTTCCAACAATGGCAACTGCTCAGGAAAGCACCATGACTGCAGCTGTGGCCACCCTTTATGTGGGGACATACGGTAGAGGAAGGCAGCTTGTGCTCTTCCTGCCACCCATCCTTGCACATCTGTGCGATCTGGGCCATGATAGGTATACACCGTTACTTAGTATTACATAAGAACAGCCAGTCTGGGTCAGACCAACGGTCCATCCAGCCCATTATCCTGTCTGCTGACAATGGTTAATACGAGATGCCCCAGAGGGAGGGAACACAACAGGTAATCCTCAAGTGATCCCTCTCCTGTCACCCATTTCCAGAGAAACAGAGGGACATCAGTGTTACTCATCCTGGCTAATAGCCATTGATGAACCTAACCTACATGAATCTATCTAGCTCTTCTTTGAACCCTGTTAAAGTCCTATCCTTCACCACATCCTCTGGCAAGGAGTTCCAAAGGTTGACTGTGCGCTAAGTGAAGAAAAACTTCCTTTTATTTGTTTTAAACCTGCTGCCTATTAATTTCATTTGGTGACCCTTAGTTCTTATATTGTGGGAATAAGTAAATAACTTTTCCTTATTCATTTTTTCCATACCAGTCATGAATTTATAGATCTCTATCATATCCTCCTGCCCCCCAGTCTCCTCTTTTCTAAGCTGAAAAGTCCAAGTCTTTTTAATCTCTCTTTATTACCTTGTCCTCCATGATGGTAGCAACATCTGGCAGACCTTGAACAACTCTGGCACGATCTGTGAAGGAACAAATGTGACCATTCATTTTTACATGCTAGTATGGCCCTTTGATCCAGAAGACAGAACCAAGAAGAATGTGCAATATTTGTTTACTTACTCTTTTCTGCTACCATTGCTTCCCTGAAAATGAGATAAAGATAATGAGAAATTTAGTATTTATGTACCCTGAATGTTTTTAGTAGGAAACAATTTATATAAGGAACTGCCCTTCGGAAGCCAAGATGTGCAGTAAAGTGAGATGTTGGAACAAGAAAAATGTCTGAAAATTGCAGAGGCTCTCTGTGTTCCATCTGGGAGAATAATGAAGGGGATTTTGGTCAGTTTCAGGAACTAGAGAGACATGTAGAAAACACATTTTTTATTTCTGATAAACTTCAAAGGATCCAGGAGATAATGCAGCTCCTCAACTGTTTTATTTTACATGTGCTCCATCCATGATGGATCAGAGGCCCCTTCTGATTCATTGATCACTGTAAGAAAAGGCTGGTGTTGGAGTTTCAGGTTCATGGCTAGGACCTGAGTTTTAGAAATTGCTCCAGCATGAAGCCCTAAAGTCTGAAGACCTCTGTGTATCTACAGGGACCAAGAAATGCAGGCTTCCTAGTGGTATCCCAGTGTAATGAGGTGTCATTCACCTCACACAAAGAGCCCCCTTTAGCCAAGTGTCTGCACTCTCTGCTGTGGCAACCCTTCTGCAATCCAGCTCTCCTAGCCCTGTCTGAGTCTATTGAGCTCCAAGGAGAAACTGCCTCACTCTGGCCCAGTAGCTTTCCTTTTAACTGGTTTGCTGGGCCCTAATTGGTCGCATTCTTTGTGCCACTCTATCTTTCCTGGAGGACTTCTCTATGGTTAGCTGGGTGGAGTGTGGCAAGGCCACAAGCCTCCAGTAGGAGGCTTTGGGACCTGGTCCACCATGTCACACCAGTATTATGAGGCCTGGCCAAAGAGTTTGTGTGGCCCAAGGTGGCATGTTGTGGTTGGCTGCACTACATAGCTAGTTGGCTCCCAGCCAGGGCAGTGAGTGAGCAGCCAGGTGGGTGGGGGTGGGCTCGCGCTGGGCAGCGTGGGGCCCTAAAGGTGCAGGGCCCAAGGCAAACTTGCTTGCCTTGCCCTAAGGCTGGGCCTGATTATTATGTGTCAGGGTCACTTCTGCATGGGAAAGGGAACTCCATTCCCATGCCTTTCAGCATTAGGCGTGGCCCCAATCCTGCCATGACTTTTCTGTTGACACTGGTGTAGTATGATGCAGGGCCATCCCCAGAAATTGTTCCCATGTGTGACAGGGTGGCAGGGTTCGAGGGAGAAGACCCCGCTCCCCGCACTAAACCAGTGCTTTGCTTCAGCGCTGCGGGGGACAAGCGACTGTGCCGGGCTTGCTCAGAAGCCATGGCTCGTGCATGCGTCGGGATCCCCAGTGCCGTCGGACCAGGCGGGGGTAGAGAGCACAGGAGCCAGCATCTGGAAGAATGGGCACCGGCTTTGAAACGGGACGCCATGACGCAGGAGAAGAGGAGGGAGGTGAGCCAGGGAAAGGAGGTCACCGCAGGAAGAGGAAGGGGGGGGGCACTCCCGAGAAGGAAGAGGAAGCGGGACCAACGGCTGGAGCAGCGGTGGAGGCAGTGAGTCCAGCAAGAGGGAAGGAAGCAGCCCAGAACAGGGCAGAATATTGCCCACAGGCCGGTGAGTTGCGGTACAGGCCCCACAGGCCGAACAGGTGGCTATCAAACCTGTTCTTAGGGTCCTGGGCTGAGACCTGGGCTGAGGGGGGGCCCAGGTCTCCTTTCCCTCTTGAGGCACAGGTATCTGTGGACTAGCATAAAGGACTACAATGGAAGAGGAGGGGAGTTGAGCACGGAAAGACTAAGCGTGTATGGGGGCTTGTCTCCCCCCTTAAGTGGGAACCATGACAAATTGTAACACCATGGTTCACAGAGCCGATCCCTGTGCTACTGACCCCAAGCTTCTTTGGTACCAGTGCCATACTCAGCGTCCACCTCCCAGCCTGGCCAGGCCAGATGTAGTGTCGCTCCCCATCTGTGAGAGGGGACATAGACTGCTGGAAGTGATGTCAGGCCAGGTAGGCCCCCTCAGGATAACTGTGGAGATGGCCCCAAGGTAATGCTGAGGAGAAGCAGTGCTGGGCAACTCACTGCCTACTTAGGTTCAGCCCCATGATGAGCCCACTGTTGTGACAGAGGAAGTGTGGGGCCAAACCTGAGCAGCGCTGCAACACTACTCACCACTTCTTCTGTCAGTGACATGCATTGTGTGTAACGGGCACAGCTGTGGGCACCACTGGCATTCTGTGAACAGAAGCCTGCCTCTTGCTCACAGCTCCACTTGGTAGGGTTGCCAGATACCCTCACAAAAAATCCTGAACAAGCAGTGAAAAATTGGTTGAGCAAAAAAGAGACCAAACTTGCTAAGCGGGGGGAGCAGGGCTGGTGGGGAAGATCGGGGGAAACTGGCTGGAGAGAAGGGATGTGGGAGAGGGAGGGGAAGAGAACCGGTCAGTGGGAAGCAGGGCTGGCCGGGGGAGATCGGGGTGGGGAGGGGAACCGGTCGGTGGGAAGCGGGGCTGGCCCAGGCGCACACAGATCCCGGGGTGCTGCCGTCCCGTGCATGGTTCCGGTGGGGCACACAGGCAAGTCCAGCCCCTTTCAACGCTAGAGTCTAATTCACCTTCACATGTGAAAGCATTTGAGAAGAAACTCACTTTAGCCTCAGGTGTTCCGCCACTGCTTCTTCAAAAGCTGCAAGGAATAAGAGATTTTAAGAAGAAAGTGGAGTTTGAGGTTTGTTATTTAATAGATTTAATTGAACATGTGTGATAATGGGGACATTGCATTGCACAGTATTTATAACCGCCTTCAGGAACTCTGCGGTCTATTTATAGTCTGCTAAAAGACCAAGGCCCTGATGCTCCCTTGCCACAGAGAAGCCCCAGGGAGGGGAACACAATCTGAACAACTCTGAGAGGTCTCTGCTGCAGAGTGAGTCACATTCTTGTCTCCATGGGTCTGTGGGGAAGGAAATCAGTTGTGGGCCATTTCTTAGAACAGCCTACCCCTCCACCCTGCTCTCTGTGAACTCGGTGGGATAATACACACAATTGGAATACTGGTATAGAAGGGTACAGCTTGCTCAGGAAGGACAGGCCGGGGAAAAAGGGAGGAGATGTTGCCTTATATATTAAAAATGTATACACTTAGACGGAGGCGGAGATGGACATAGGAGACAGAATTGTTAAGAGTCTTTGGGTTATGTTAAAAGGGGTAAAAAACAAGGGTGATGACATAGTAAGGGCCTACTACAGACCACCTACCCAGGTAGAATAGGTAGATGGGAGATTTCAACTATCCAGACATACGTTCACAAGTTTCAAAGGGGTAGCTATGTTAGTTTGTAACTGGAAAAAACTTAAACAACGAATAGTCTTACAGTGCCTTAGTCTCTAAGGTGCTGTAAGAATATTTGTTTTTTAAGTTTATCCAGACCAGAAGGTGGATTGTGACGGGATGCCTAACATGGTAAATGTCCAGTTCTGGGCACAGCATTTCAAGAAAGATTTGTAGAAATTGGAGAAGGTCCAGAGAAGAGCATCAAGAATGATTAAAGGTTTAGAGAAAGTGAGCTATGAAGGAAGACTGAAAGAATTGAGCTTGTGTAGTTTGGAAAGGAAAAAACGGAGACGAAACTTGATAGCGGTTTTCAACTATCTAAAAGGGTGTCACAAGGAGGAGGGAGAAAAATTGTTCTCCATGGCCTCTGAGGATAAGACAAGAAGCAAGGGGCTTAAACTGCAGCTAGAGAGGTTTAGGTTGGATGTTAGGAAAAACTTCGTAACTGTCAGGGTAGTTAAACACTGGAATGAATTGAGTAGTGGATTGTTGAATCTCCATCACTGGACATATTTAAGAGTAGGTTAGACAGACACGTGTCAGGGATGGTCTAGATCAGTGTTTCTCAACCTTTTTTATAAAGTACCACTTTTTTAAAAAAAAAAATTATAAGTATCCCCAGGACCTACAGTTTTCAGACACACAACATTTTTTTCTATCTTTGCAACACATTTGTTTAAACAACTCAATCATGGCTGGGGGGGCAATGAAATGTTTGGGGGTAAAAAATACAAAAATAATAAAATGCTGTAAAACTTTAAAAAAAATCAGTTTTCTCCAAATTTCAGTTGTGTTGACATACCATCCAGTCATCTCTTGAGTGCCCCTAAAGGTACTCGTACCACTGGTTGAGAAACTCTGGTCTGGATGGTGGTTGGTTCTGCCGTGAGGGCAGCAGACTGGACCTGATGATCTCCCGAGGTCCCTTCCACTTCTAGTATTGTATGATTCTACCCCTCCCCTGGCAGCAGTGATCCCTCAGGTTTGGAGTCTTCTGTCATTAGCTACTCTGCCCTGCTGCACAGCACTCTTCTCTGTGCACTTCCCTCCACATTTGCAGCACCCATTCCTATGGCACCTCACAGAGCTCCACCGGGGGGAAATCTTGGAAAACAATGCGTTTTGAACTCTTCCCTTTGACTGAAATGTTCTGCTCCAACTCACCTTTCCCAGACAAGTCTGTTGATAGTTTGTGCAAGTCTTTTCCATCGAATATTTCCAGGGTATATTTTCCCTTATCTGAGTCTGTAGGGTTCAATATGTGGAGCCAGATCTGGTCCACTGTAGTCCCACTTTTCAGCCTTTCACCACTTTCTAGTCGCTTCTCCCTAAGTAAACAAATTATACCATTTTATCAAATTTGAAGTAAAATACACAAGTTTTAGGATAAATTGGTCAGAACAAGCAATTGGGAGCTAGGACTTCTGGGTTCTATTCCTATAGGTCAGTCTCACTATAAGCAAGTCTCAGGGCCAGATTTTTAAAGGTACAGATCAAACTTCAGTAGTCCAGCACTCTCTGGTCCGGCAAAATCCATGGTCCGGCATGATTTTAGTTAGCCGGATGTCCACTTATTATGGTTGTGGCCAAGTTTCCTGCAGTCCCATAAAGTTTGTTTGCAGCCACCAGTCCTGGCTCTCAATGTTCTGTGCTGTTATTTAGCTCTAATTTACCCCGAGAGGTCTCTAAGAGCCCAGTAAGCAGAGAAAGTGTTTGTAATGCTGCTAGACAATATTGACCTCCCATGGTCTAGCAAATTCTCTGGTTTGGCACTAATCAGGTCCTGAGAGTGTCAGACTAGAGAGGTTCAACCTATATTTAGGTGCCTAAACATTCATAAAGGCACCTATTGAGATTTTCAAAAATCCCTGATTGCCTAAGTATAAAGTTTGGAAAATTTGTTCCTTCATGTCTAAATTTTTCCTGTCTGGGAAACGGGTCTAATAACAGCGCTTTTGTCTTTGAAGGGGTATTGTGAGTCCAAATTATCTAAAGCTGGGGAAGAACTTTGACATGCTCAGATAAAAGGATGTAGAAATGTGAAGCATCAGAGGCATTTAGTTCTTCCGAGTGGAGGAGGCAGTCATTTAGAAAAACATAAAGCACTATAGACAAAGTACTTTAAAAAAAATTCTGCCCATGTCTGTAGCTGTGCTGTCACGTAACAGTATTATCACACCATTGAAATCATCACCACCAAGTACTTGCGCCTCACAAACGAAATAGAACGTGACTGCTAACTGGAGATCTCAAAGTCGATTCAGTGGAAAGAGGCAACTGAACTTAAAATCCCTTGTCCCCATAATGCCACAATCAGAAGAATCTCGCATTGTCTTCAAGGCTCAGGCACAAAGGCCAGTAAGGTATTTAGGCCCCTAACTCCCATTGGTTTCAGTGGATGTTAGAGCCCTAAAGACTTTGAGGATCTCAGCCAATGCGCTTTAATTTCCATAGCTGATAATACAAACAGTCAGTACATATGAACCTTGCTAGGATCGTTGAAGGACATACTTGTGGTACCAGGTTGTTTTCATGCAGTCTGTGTAGTATTTCACCTCACTGTGGATTCTGATGCCTTCTTCCGTTGGTTGGACTTTCAGAGGCTTAGCAGAAAGGGCTAAGAAGAGAATTAAAAGACTGGCATTTTACTAGCTGACCAGCCAGTCTATTTTTTTTTAAAGAACCCAATGTTTCATCCTGTTTGTAGAACATGGGCAGCTAAAACCCCCTGGCGTTCTAGCACATGAAGGCCCTATATCTTCCATCCAGCAGAAATGTGCCTACTTCCTCCGGAGGTCTGGATTCCAAGTATAGGTCCCATACACACATTTGGCCATTCTCTCCAATTCACCTTTCACTGCTGTCATTCTGCTGCAGCCACCCGTGATGGGGGTAGAGTAACACTTGTACCATGACGTGATCAAGGCTAGGGATGTGAATGACTAGTCGACTGTCTGATAAGCAAATGCTTATCAGATAGTCTACAGGCTAGTCAACTAGTTTCTCCCCCCCCCTTGCTGCCTCTATTAGAAAGAGGCAGCAAGAGGGGGATGTGTAGGGATGCTTCAAAGCGGCAGCGCCACGTGGAGTCTGTGGTGCTGCTGTTTCGAATAGGTGTCCCCAGGCTACACGCAGTGTTTCAAAGTGGCAGCACTGCGTGGAGCCCGGGATGAGCTGGGGACTCCCCTGCTGATCCTGGGCTCTGTGCAGCGCTGCCACTTTGAAATGCCGCGTAGAGCCGGATGCTGGGCTCCCCATGGCATTTCAAAGTGGCAGCACTGCATGGAGCCTGGGGTCCCCAGGGTTTTGCGGAGGCGCTCTGTTGATTAATCGAATAGTCAATGCAAAATGCATCGACTATTCGATTAGTCAGTTACTCGATATTTAACATCCCTAATTGGAGCAGGGTTTAACAATGAGTTCTGAATGGAGTCGGCTCTGATTTGCATGTTCAGTTAAAGCATGTTCAGCACTAGGCCAGCTGCACCCATTGTCAGCAATGGGCACAGTCCCTACTACGGATGAGGCCAGAGAGACTTAGGTCTCAGCTCACTTTGCTGTTGGAATGTGACAGCTGCACATGTCTGGGCAGAAAGAATAGCTCAGAGCAGGAGATAAAGAGATTGTATTTCCTTCCCTTCATGGAGGGTCTGGTGTCTAAGGTGAGAGACAGGAGCAGAATATATTTAACTCTTGCTTCCTTGCTGCAGCAGTCCTGCTTCTCTTCCCCTTCCTCACTTCTCTATCTGTTTACTGACTGCCCCTCCCACTTCAATTCCCCAAAGGCTCCTAAGCCCACAGTAGATTCTAAATGCCCCCGTTCCTCATCCACTTTACTTCCACATTAGCTACCTTTACAAGACAGAGGAATGTGACTTCAGAAAAAAAGGAGTGGCATCTAGATTAGAACAAAGGACAACTCCTAAGTCCCAGTTCTAGGCCTAAGAACAGCTCTTTTTCCCACCACGGTCAAATCGTGCCTCCCTGCCTCAGTTTCACCTTGATACATAACTCTGCTAAGTATTCTTTTTACAGCATGTAGCTGATAAAAACAGACTTACCACTAATCCTGCAGAGCTCTTTGAGAATATCTTCAAACCCTACAAACACAGGAAGATGCTTCAATCAGCCATAAATACATTCACAAGCAATTTGCATTTGATTGACCAATGGCCTCTTCACATCTGTAGAACCCACTGCATACTTACAGTTGTTATTTTGTTGTGTTTTCCCCACTCGTGAATTTCACTGGCTATAAAGTGTTTGCTACTGACTCTTTTATTTCTACATGTCGGATGTATCTTAGTATACTATAGGGGAGCCTGGATAACCCCATCTTGACCAGTATAATAATGTCTGCATTGTCCAGCTGTGCCTTGACTGGACTAATGATGGCTGTCTTGCCCAAAGTGCAGATTTCTAACAAAGCAAACCCAGGCCTGACTCAAGTCTGGTGCACATAAGCATGCAGGCCAGGCCAAGGGGGTAGAGCTTTGAGAGTCAGGAGTGCTTTAAACAATCATGCATAGGGAGTATGTGGTATAGTGAAACCAAGCCAAGAACATTGGGAGAAACCTGGTACTGGTACATAGTATTTCTGATAAGCAAAAATCACAGATACAGACTTAGAATTGTCAAGTATAGTACAGCCTGAATAGCAGGATGCATCCCAAATATGGGCATAATAGGTATTTTATGCAAAACATAATCAATTGGTAGATATTACTAAAATGACCAAGTCAAGTATAAAAACAGGTGTAGAAAAGATAATCAGTGGGAGGGGGCAGGATTGACCCACAGGTCCCGCTTGTTGTAACTAGAAGTAATGGGCCCCTTCACACCGGCTGCAGCAGGGCTTGGTGTTCCGACACGTGGGAATCGAAGGGACCACGACCTCCCGCCTGGTCCTGAAGGTGGCATACTGGTGAAGTGTAAGTGAACTAGGCTTAATTATTGTATTATAATAATCTTCTATTAATTGCTTTTGCATTGCTTTGCGCTGTATTAATTGCTTTAGAATTTATAGTATTTAAGGTTTAAATTGTGTAGTAATTGTTTTAAGGCTTGTAAAACTTAAACAACTGTGTTAACTGCTTAAAGCTTGTAATAAATGAATAAGTGGTTAAGTCTCTCTGGCGTGTCCTGGTTTCCCTTGGATTTAAAAATCGAACCACACGACATAGACTCAGATGCTGCCTGTTTCCTTAACATTCCAATGTACGTGTGTGCAGTGATGTATCTCGTATGGGATACAGATTTACATATTAGGGTTAAATGATTATGTCAAATGACATCGCCGAGTTTAAATGCTTGGAACACTCTGTGTTTCACCTCTTCTGTCCCCTACTGCTCGAGAGAATGTATGGCATGGTCATGGTTTGAAAAATGACTGTGGGGAAAATATTGGGAGATTTTTCAAAACTGACTCTCTCTCTGAGTATCAGAAGTCACAACACTGAAAATTAAGGCAAGGAGTTGAAAATGTTCTTTTTGCATCTGACATCACTGGTACTAACAATTCTGGATCGGAACTCAGCTGATAGCTTTGTTGAGTCTGCACAATGGAAAATAGTCCCCAGTTTGCCCTTCCATCCGCTTTTGAGGATCTGCAGAATTAACAGGAGTTAAAACTTGGCGTATGTCAGTCATTCAATGAGCTATGACAGAGACACGTGCAGGGAGAAGCTAGAGGACCCAACCCATTGACTTCAGTGGTGAATAAAAAGGGGATGTTTTGTACCTGATACATTTTCTGATCCTAATCCAAATTTAAATATTTCTTATTCATGAAATTTACCACAAATATATATATATGTATATATGGTATAGCCTCCTCTACTGAAGAAGAAAAAAGAATAGAAAATTCTTGAAGTCCGTTAGAGATCTCATATTGTAGATCTTATTATTTTTCTAGCATTTATATAGTACAGTACAGGCAGTCCCCGGGTTACGTACAAGATAGGGACTGTAGGTTTGTTCTTAAGTTGAATCTGTATGTAAGTCGGAACTGGCGTCCAGATTCAGCCGCTGCTGAAACTGATCAGTTTCAACAGTGGCTGAATCT